GGAGGGGAGGGGAGGGGAGGGGAGGGGAGGGGAGGGCAGTGCAATCTATGTTAAGGAGCAATATACATTTTCTGTAGTTAAGTTGGGCCAAGAAATGCAAATTGAGGTACTATGGGTCAGATTACAGGGGGTCAGGGAGAAAGGGACTTGGTAGCGGGGATCTATTACAGACTCTCACACCAGGGGGACAAGTTAGACCTAGAATTCTCAAAACAGCTCTCAGAGGCAGTGTGCTCAGAAGAACCTGGTTGTCATGGGGGACCTAAACTTCCCAGACATCTTCTGGGAGGAACAAGCAGCCAGGTCTGCCTGTTCACGTAAGTTTCTAACCTGCATCTAACACAGGAGGTAAGTGTTCCCACTAGGGGAAATGCCTTACTAGACTTGGTGCTGGCCACAGGGGATGACTTGGTGGGGGATCAAGGTAACCTAGGGGATAGTGACCACCTATTGATAGAGTTCACTATCCAGAGAAAGGTGGGAAAGATAACTAGCACGGCTAAAGTGCTAGTCTTCAGGAAGGCCAACTTCAACAAGCTCAGGAGATTAGTTATGGAGGGACTGACTGGTAAAAGCCTCAGAGAGATGGGAGTCCAGGACTGGTGGGCATTTCTCAAGGGACTGATCCTGCAGACCAGAAAGGGACCATCCCAGTACACAAAGGGGGGCAAGAGCCAAGAAACCCTCTTGGCTGAGCAAGGAAATCCAGGAGTGCCAGGAGGGGAAAAAATAGGCCTACGGGCTGTGGAAGCAGGGGGTAGCCACAAAGGAGAAGAATACCTGTCTGGCTTGAGGTTGCAGGGAAGCAATGAGGAGGGTCAAAGCAGAAATGGAGCTTAGGCTGGCAGCACAAGTTAAGGATAACAAAGTCTTTCTTTAAGTACACAGGAAGCAAAAAGAAAGTGCAGGGCCCCTTCAAGATGAATTAGGGCAACTGGTTACAGATAGGATGGCCAAAGTGAAGCTCCTAAATTATTTCTTTGCATCCGTGTTCCTGGACAGGGATACAATCATGTGCCAAATGGGACTTTAGGTAAGCACAAGACAGATACCAACCTGTTAATGCCAAACTAGTAAAGGGGCACTTAGAGAGGCTGGATGTATTTAAGTCAACAGGCCCTGATGATCTTCATCCTAGGATACTCAGGGAATTAGCTGGAGTCATAGCAGAACCACTGGCCAGACTGTTTGAGCACTCATGGCGCTCAGGACAGGTCCCGGAGGACTGGAAAAGGGCCAATTTGGTCCCAATTTTCAAGAAGGGGAGGAGAGAGGAACCAGGTAACTATAGGCCGGTTAGCCTTACCTCTATCCATGACAAGACCTTTGAGAAAATTGTTAAGGATCACCTTTGCGTGGGACCAGTGGGTAAAATAACCTTAAGGGGGCAACCAGCATGGATTCATAGCAGGCAGATCCTGCCTGACTAACCTGTTTTCTTTTTACGACTGGGTCACAGAATGCTTGGATGAAGGAAGAGAGGTAGATGTTATTTTCTTAGATTTTAAAAGGTCTTTGGCACAGTGTTGCACCCAATTCTTATAAATAAACTAAACAGTTGCAATGTAGATTATTACATGGTCCGGTGGGTGGAAAGTTGGCTCAGGGGTCGCACCCAGAGAGTAGTAATGGATGGGCTGGTTTCTACCTGGAGAAACGTAGGCAGTGGAGTCCTGCAAGGCTCTGTCCTAGGACCGATACTGTTCGATATCTTCATTAGTGATGTGTACGATGGAGGGCAAAGCACTCTGTCCAAATATGCAGATGACACCAAACTATGAGGTAAGGTAAACAAACTAGAGGGTAGGGAGTGAATCCAGGCAGATTTAGATAGGCTGGGGAAGTGGGTGGAACAGAATAGGATGCAGTATAACAAAGGTAAGTGCCATGTGTTGTACCTAGGGAAGAAGAATCATCAATACATCTATAGCCTGGGGGTACCATTCTAAGTAGCACAACAGCGGAGAGGGATCTTGGAGTCATTGTCAACTCCAAAATGAATACAAGTCACCAATGTGATGAAGCAATAAGTAAAGCTAACCGTACTCTTTCTTGCATAAGTAGGTGCATCACAAACAGGTTTAAGCAGGTAATACTTCCCCTCTATGCGACATTGGTCAGGACTCATCTGGAGTACTGCGTCCAGTTTTGAGCATCACACTTCAAGAGGGAAGTAGATAACCTGGAAATGGTTCAGAGGAAGGCCACCCATCTGGTTAAAGGACTACAAGAAAAACCCTACGAGAACAATTGAGGGACCTGAATCTCTTCAGCCTCCGCAAGAGAAGGCTGAGAGGTGATTTTGTGGCTGTCTACAAGCCCATCGGGGGGACAGCAGGAAATAGGGGATACGATGTTTACCAAGGCGCCCATCAGAGTAACTAGAAGCAATGGCCACAACCTGAAGGAGAAATTGGACATCAGGAAAAAATTCTTTATGGTGAGGGTTGCCAAAATATGGAATACACTCCCAAGGGAGGTGGTGCTGTCCCCTTCTTTGGAGATATTCAAAAGGAGTTTGGACAAACACCTGGCGGGGGTCATTTGACCCCAGCACTCTTTCCTGCCCAGGGCAGGGAGTCAGACTCAATGATCTAACAGGACCCTTCTGACCCTAAAATCCATGAAAACACTCTGCATTTTTACAAATTTCTATGTTTTCTAGATATCCAAAATAAGACTAGTTACCTTTGTATTGTAAAATCCACAAACAGCATTGACCCAATCCATAAGTAGTTTCACATTTTCCTGGTAACTTTCAGGTGAGGGGTAACCACTGCTGTCTTTTCTCCCTTTATGTTCCGAGAGATTCAGAGCAGCCATTTTAGTCTTTATGCTGTGTGCATTCTTTAAAAACTCAATCTCTTCCTTTAACTGTTCCACATTCAGGGAAACCTCCACCTGTCAATGAAAAAACAGTATTTTCCTCTACTATTTATAATACAGTTACAGTGATCATATTCATAAGCTTCTACTAGATGAGAAGGACTAGCCTGAAAAGAGCATCTGATGAACCTGACAAATCCCGTGCTTTATTTAGAAGTGCAAAAACTGCCATTAAATCAGGCCAATACAGTAGTTAATTCAGTCTATATCACCATGGATGTCAATGACCAGTACCAGAAGCTTAAGATGGGGAGAAAATCCTGTACTGAATAGTTACAAAACAATCACAACCTTATGGACTTCTGAATACATTTACCTATAATTACTAGTTCCTGCTCAGAAACAAACATGTTAAGAAGCCAAGAAATGCAAAAACTATGAAGGTTTTCTTTCACATAAACACTGGAATGTAAAAAATAACATAGCAAAACATAAGTGTTCCTAACATCCTGAAGTTAAATGAGAAACTTCAAAAATACTCTTGCCCATTCAAGTACTAGAAGTAATAGTCTCCTTTGGATTCGTGCTATATATATGCTTATTTATCTTTATATTGGTGCTGTATGGATTGTAAATCGCTCAGAGAATATGCAAGGAGTAGGATTTGCTTGGCAATATCTTTTACTGGATCAGCTTCATAGGTGGAAAAAGATGTTGCACAAGCTTTGTGGAACAAAATGCTTTCTTTCATGTCCGAGAAGGAAGCAGATACAGTCAAAGCTAAAGCAAGTAGATAGTTTTGTCTGTTGTTATAATTTATTATATGCCCATTTATAATACCATTCCCAAGTTAAATAGTTTCTTATTTTTGGATGCACTTAAGCTATGGCATGGACAAAGGAAACCCTGGATACCAGGAAAAGCTTGGAGCACTTTAATAAAGGTAATGTTTCAAAAGGGCAGCAGCTGACATCTACTTGTTGTATGAATGAACTGAAGATGATTCAAATGTAGCAGATATCTAATTTTAAAGTTGTTCATTCAGGGTTAAGTTTAAGACATGCTTAGATATTCATTTTTTGACAGATGCTAACCAGGTAACCCCACAGTCTTGCCATTAAGACAACCTATTTTCAATAGGTGGTAATTCAAGTTTTATGGACAAATTTGACAATAGTTGTCAAATGATTTCCATTTTATATCTGCATAAAATATTCTAATAACAAAAAAGTCCACATTTTCATCAACTCCTTGGTTTAGGATTTCAAAAGTTTTTACCAATGAATAAAATTTAATTGCAACTAAACATGATTCGATTATGCAATACCTGGAAAGCAAAGACAATTTTCCATAGCAGGGCTAATGTTCGCTCTCTGTGTCTATCCACAATGTCCCTAGAATTGATTGAAGCACCTAGGAAATAAAACAGACAGTCACTAAAATGGTTACTGGTTCTCTTAAAAAGGGAAAATTATTCTCTCTATGCTTTGCAGCTCTTACCAGTTTCATCTTGCAGATGAACTCCTCGTTCTTTAAGCACATGAAGAGCAATATCAACATTATGCATTTTCTGAAGACGACTTATGGCAGGAACCCTTAGTTTCTCAGAGAGAGTCCAGTTTTTTGTAAGAAGTTCCATTGCTCTCCTAACATTAGAGGAAATGTCATATTTAAGTTTCTTTCTTTATCTTACAACAATATCAGACAAAGAAAATAAACCACCATAAAACTATCAGCAACTTACACAAGACGAATGCCACACTGTAAGTCTACAGCTAGATTTGTTACAGCAAAGTCAAATTCATCAAGTGGCGTTTGAACATGACTAACTGGTAATCCAAGGAACCCAAGATGGCGGGAAAGATCACCTTCACCACTCAAAAAGTCTCGTGCAAATGCCAACAGAATATCCTTGCTAGTCTAAATAAAAGCACAGAGCAAAGTTAGAGCTGTATCATATTAAGCAAGTTAGTCCCAACACCTCCTCCCTGGATACATTTAGAGAACAAATAATAAATGTTACACAGACTAAAATATAAATAGTAAATATTTTAATTAAAATACAAAACATAGTTAATCATATGACTGTACTCCGAGTGGCAGCAAGTTTGTAAACAATTTTCTTGTTATTTCTCCACTTAGTCAAAAATTTTCACCTCAAAGATACAGCCTGCAGAGCCAAGTCCTCTGGACTGCAGGGCTCCTGGAGGAACCTGGTTCCAAATACCAGGGTACAGAGCTCCCTTGGTGACATGTTTGGCAGCAATGAGGCAAGCAAACAGCTGTGTTAATTACTCCACTGGAGAAGGTGAGTCCAGATTCAGTCCACAAGAAGCGCTATGATTTCATAACCAGTTCAGCACGCCCAAGTGAGTTTAAAACTCCTGGTTTAATATATTTATTGTTATAGACCAAGGGTGTCAAACATCTGACTTGCATGGATTAATGCCAATGTTGCTCACACCACTACAATTTTTTTTTTGGTTTGCTATCCCTATTGGAGATACAAATTGGTGACAGAGTGAGTGGCAGTGACATTAACCCCTGTATACTTTCTGTCCTAACACAGTGGATCTGGAAGCTGTGGCAAAAAGCCCTACTATCCAGACACAGTGCTGGGTTGTCAAGCAGTCATGAAACCTTTTTTTCTTTTTTTTAAACCAAAATATTGTAGGCGTCTAAAAAAATTCCAGTTGCATTTTGAGAATTAAACGTTTCAGCTAATCAATGCCGTGTGAGAGAAATATTTAATATATTTAACATTCTTGCACTTCAGGAACTAAGCCTTAGAAAAGTGAAGGAGCAAGCTTCTATGATATAAGGCTTTTGAGTTCTCCCTTTGGACTGCACTCACTGCAAAGGTCCTGCCGGTAGGTCTTTCAGCTAATGATTAGCTGGATGAGGGAGGTTGTTAAGGGAGGTTCATATTGGAATATGAATAGTGATAGTGCCAAAGGTAAAAAAAAAATGTATTTTCCATGCGTAAAGAATACAAGTCGTATTACTGTTTTGTATCTGAAAACAGAAGTCTTCTACCAGAGTCTTTCACTTTACCTTGAACTCTGCATCTTTACAGAAGAGGCAAGGATCGTGGTCAATAATTCTGGACTGTTTGGCACAATCTAGAAAGCAAACTAATAGCAGCAATTTTTTCAGCGTAAATTTAGACAAAGCCGCTTCATGACCTGAAATATAAAAAACAAAATTAAAAGGTCTGATTTATTAATACAAAATTAAATGATAATGTTCATGCCTCTGAAAAGAAATCATTACCATTGCGATAAAGGTGAGGTACACTGGGGTGCCTGTATTCAGCTGCAATATCCGGGTTCCAAAGCAAGCGATTTAGAATAAACATTGCCAAACCCATAACATCACTATTACTCTCCAGGGCAATCAGTTCTCCATAAACAGTCTAAAATGAGGAAATAAGTATTAATATATAAAAGGTGGCAAACTCAAAAATGCTTGTGGTTACACATTTTCTCTAGAATTTCAGCAGATTCATAACTCCAAAAAAAAAATCACAATGACAAAGAGCTTTTCATTAGGGAAAATACGTAGTAAGTTAGCCTATTTCTCTAAATAGATGTTATAGACACACATAACAGTTGCACTAATATCAATTGATATACCGTATTTACTCTAATCAAAGTCTATACAGAGAAAATGTATAAATATGAATCTTAAAAATTTTGCCCCTTACCTGTGCAGTGGAGAAAGCAGTGGTAGGCAGCGGGGAGGAGAGGGGAGAGACAGACAGTAGGGGGAGCAGACAGTAGAGCTTGACCCTGCGCCTCTCACCCCATGCCTCTGCCACCTCTCTGCCCTCCCCCATTTGCACCCCTCTCCCTGCCCATTCCCCATGCCTCTGCTCCCCTGGCAGCCTCAAATCCACCTTCCCTTCTGTATCACCACCCCCAACCCCTGCAGCCTCTGCCCTCACACCCTCCTGGAGCCTCTGCCCCTTCCCTGCTCTCAAAGCCTCTGATTACCCACCTTATCCCACAATCCTTTAACTTTAAAACGTTAAATAACAATCAACCTCATGTACTGGCTTGCTGCCTGAAAAAGCAGCTTTTGCCTCAGTGATGAGCAGGGATCTGGGTTTTCCGTTTCCCACAGAAAAAAAAAAAAAAAAGAGTAAACTGCACATTTTGACTTTTACCAGAAGCAAATGTGGATTTCTCATATTACCAGAGAAACCCATTGATTTTACTGTTTTGCAATAAGCTCCCCAGATCTGTACCTGGGGCAGGCACAGGCTACGGGCTCGAGCTCCCACCCTGCTTCCCTCCCCCAGGGTCTCCAGAGCCAGTGGGCTTGACCTGGCACAGCTGGGCCTTGTGGGGATTCCCCACAGATGCAAATCCCACCCCCGCACCCCAGCAACACACCTCCAGCGCCTGCCGCTGCTTTGAAGGGTGCAGGATCCCTGGGTACACCAGGGATGCTGGTTTTTTATCAGGGAAAACTAGGATCCCTGGTGATGAACTCTCTAACCAGTCCAAGATAGTTGTACCATATGCATTAAAATTGGCCAGCAATTACTAAAGGGGTAAATTAAAGTAATAGAAGGGGATATAGAGCCAAGATCATTCTGAAATTATTCCTCACAGAAAGGCACTTTTAAAATTGTCCAGTCAAATATATTGAATTATGTAAGACTGCATAGATTTCATAGACATTAGGGCTGGAAGGGACCTTGGATGATCAGAGTCCAGCCCCCTGCCCCAGAGGCAGGAAGTCAGCTGGGGTCATAGGATCGAGAGAGCGAGAGAGAGATTGTGAATATGTATACAGGCGTGTGTACACACACGACTGTGTGCGTGCATGATCTTGCCAGGTTTACCTTTATTTTACTTTTATTTTTTTAAAGGTATACTTAGCAATATCATTTTTAAATTCATGCCTGCCAGGTTAGCAACAAAAAAAATTAGAACGGCTTGGATAACTTTTCTGAGCAAGAAATTTAACAAGAGAACCCGTTTCAAATGAAGGCACATAATTATGTATATTTAAAAATTGTGTGCTCACCTCTAGGCCTATACGTAGCCACAAAGGGTTGTAAGATAAAAGCCAGTTGAGGATTTTCTGTCTTTCCCCTGCAATAGAATGACAATATGTAAAAAAAAACAAAAAAAACAAAAAAAAACAAAACCTGTTTCAAATGATTTTCATTGTGCTAAAGCCACTTGTGATCTTTTTATATCTCTAATAGTTCATAATACATTCAATGTGCACTCCAAGTACAATTTCTATATTTATTGAAAATAATAAAAACAGTATTTATAGTTTCTTACCAATATCTTTCCAAAGGTGTCTATCTTTTCGAACCAATAAGCGCCTAGTTTCAATCTCAACTTCCAGCTTCTTAATAGCTTTAACCATTTTTTCACAGGTAAACAAACGGCAAGCTGCACGTCGTAGTCTGTTCAACCTGCATCGAGCAGTATAAGCTCTCAGGGACATTTCATCTTTTGTTGGTGCTTTAGGAACACTAGCTTTATAATTCTCTGCTCCCAAAACAAGGACAGCTGCATTTACTGATTAAAAGATAAAAGCATATTATGCATCTGTTTTACCAGCTTACTACTTCTGTTTTAATCAAAACTTCACACAGACACATACCACTTGACGAAATGCATCTGGCATAACAAAACTCAGCATTAGAATAATCAAACTTCCTGAGGACAATTAACTCGTCCAGTTCCTTACTTCAAACATCCATGACCAGATCCAACTCCACCAAGTACACACCTAAATAGATTTTGACACCCAAATCTGATCTTATTCAAACCCATTAGAGTGCTTGAAAAACTGCTTATACAAAAAAGGTAAGTTAGTCCTCCTCCTCACTGTTTCCTATGACTTTATTCTAAGACTAAATGACAGGCCGTTACACAAATAGATACATTAATGGATTTTCAGGAATTCAAACTTAGACACCTGAAAGATAGAGTAGGTTCTTACCATTTGTTTATTAGCATCTATTTAATTAAATCAATAATTAGAATCACCTAAGGTTTTTAAATCTAAAGCTTTCAAAGAAAACAGAATATTCTAAGATGAAGAACACAAAAAAAATCACAGAAGTATATAAAACTGTTAGAAGACAGCACTTCAGAATTTCCTGAAGGGTATCTCTTTGGACCAAATAATATCCAACTAAAATAATCAAATTATCGCTGGAAGTTGTATTGATGATCCATTTGCAACTCATTTCAATCTTAGACCAAAAGGTGAAGGATGAAAAACTGCAAGATATATATGAATAGAGATTATTCTTACTAGAGGGTTCCACTCAAGCTTATTGTGTGCATGTTACTTTAAATACTAGTTTTTGGCTATTGGACTCTTAAGTTAATAAAAATAATACTTGAAGAAAATTTAACCACTGTATATCTTTCACTGATGTTTAAGTCTTCCATAAATTGGGCAGGAATGCATAATTTCTATTTATGTACTGTACCTTGTGAGATGTTTGTTTTTACAGTAAAGTCATCAGGAGTAAGTATAAAATTCAACCACCAGGTGAAGCCTCGCTGCTGCTTTTCTTTCCAGCGTTCATCGTAGAACATATTTTTAGCAACAAAAGGCATTGGATGCCTAGGAATGACTGAAGAGGAAAAAAAAGCATAAGCTATATAGAAGTGATTCAAAGTAAAGTTCATGTTAAGAAGAAAATGTAAATCATGTTTCAGAAAGTTATTCACTTTTCATTTTTATGAAAACTGTCTGAGTTAGCATAAGAAAAGTACAAATAACAACATGCCACTGCTCATTTACTGTATTCTTTCATGTCATCAATAAAGCTAGTCAGAAAACAACAGCTATGTTCATACCTATTTTTGTTATTACATAATACTTTACAGTGTAACAAATATCAAGTAATCTAGGGTCTTTAAATAAACTCAATAAAACCTCTAAAGTATAACCCAATATCTATCAGATTTACCCAATAATAGATATCAGCTTTATCCAAAGAACCTTGTCTTCCTATGTCCTTAGACCAACACAGCTACAACCTACACCGCTAAAGTATAACCACATTTTTGCCTATAATAAATTGCACCACAGATCTTCTCTAATGCCATATGCCAAATCGCAGGTCCCCTCTACACTGTACAGGAATTGTGTGACTGATTAGTTAATTGTACAGTTACCTTGAGACCAGCTGCACAAGCGAAGTCACAATAAAAAGCTCCAACCAGCTATTAAGTGGGTATGTCTACACATAAAATTAATTTGACTGAATAAACTCTGGCATAGTTCCCACTTGAGTTTATTGCTCCCAGGGGCAGTATCTTACATGTGCTCCTGGGACTGCAACAAGTTGAGCCAGGGTGGCACAGCCCTGGCTGACAGAGCCCCAGGGGTCAGCCTGCTAGTCCAAGTCTGCTATAACCCGGCTCAACGTGCTGCAGAAGGGCTGGCTAGGGTGCTTCAGTGCCTGGGCTAGCCAGCAGGCAGCCCCAGCACTGAAGTACCATTGTACTGCAGCCAACCCCATCAGCATCTACACATGCATTTTGGCAGAGTAACTCCGCTATAGGATAGTACTTGTATTTGGCAGTTCTAACCTATGGCAGAGTTAGCTTATTCCAACCTAATAGCTCCACACTTGTAGACAGAGACACTTTACTGCAGAGCTAAGAAGTCTACTCTGCAGAAAACATCTTGTGTAGATGCACTCAGACTGTGAAAATGTGTACTAACTTTATAGTTAGTTGCTGTCGAGCTTTAATCTGCACATGAAGCAGGGGCTCTCCTGCAGTTGGGAGCCCTGTCAGCTGTGGGCTCCAAGCCACAGAGGTGCACCTTGTACAGCTGGGGTGGAATACCACAACACTTAGGGACACTCAGCCTCAGCAGCTGCTGACTCTGGGTCCCAGCAGCACCCTGCAGCTCCCAGGACCAGTCCCACAGCTGCAGACACTGGGTTCCTGTAGTATGCTTCCCAGCAGTCCCCTCATCCCAGAGGTACATGAAACTGCCAGGGCAGAAGGATCACAGTGGCCATCTCCCAGCCACAGGGGGTATGTGGGGTGCCTCCATGGTTGGCAGCTGATCAGCTGAAAACGCTCCCAGCAGCGAGTTTGTTTCATGCTGGTACAGAAGAAGCCTAGGATGAGGTTCCCTCTGTACCGGCAATAAGACACAATGGGATCTAATATGCACCACAAGTATTGTGGGAGCACACAACTAATGTGCTCTACAGCTGAACCTCCTTCCAGTCATATCTGGAATAGTAAGCTGATAGCAAATTGGAAAATATCTTCAACAGAAACTGACAGTTATGAATATTATTCAGTTATGAAAGGTACTATTATTGCTTTTAGTCCATTCAACTTCAAGACTGCTTAACCACTGGCCAGCAAAGCAGTGTCATCCAGCCCACGGTGCTCCCCAAGGGTCCAAAAATTTGGCAACAGGGACAGTGCTGCCAAACTCCTGAACCCATGAGGAGCCCTGAAAACCAGATAGCATGGCTCTGTGTTCCAGATCATATGTGCAGGACCAGGCTGGGACCCAATCCAGGGCACCAATATAAGACAGACCAGTCCTGTACCATTTAACTGGCCCACAAGGCCAAAAGGTTAAGTACTACTGGCCCTACTTAAAGGCAGAACTGTATGAGAGCAGTGTTTAACTTAGGCCAGTGGGAGGCAACCTTTAAGGCAGGTGTGCCATAAACTAACCGCTTCCCTATCTGTTGTTCTGCTTTCTCTTCCCTGCCACCTCTGCTGGATGACAGAGAGGCTGCCTATGTCACTTCTGACACACATACTGGGGGTTGGCCACCCCTACCTTAGACTGACCAAACTTATTGTGAAAGCAAGACTGGAAGTTGCCTCAGACCAGGGGCAGCAACCTTTTCCAACTACAGGCCAGAATGACCCACCACAGCACAGGTAAAGCACCCACAGCCCAAGTCCCCCCTCACCAAAGCCCCACATCCACAAGTCGGATCCAATGGCTCCTGTAGGCCGTAGGTGCTGACCCCTGACCTAGACCATTGAGTTCTGACCCATGCATTCACAGGCAATTGCTAACCCAAGGAATTTCCAAACTCAGTAGCAAATATATAAAAATGCCATCAGGAAAAAAGGGGAGATAGGGCCACTGCCAATTCCAGCCACTGCAACAATGGAGTTGATTCGTATATGCTCAGAGCATCCTAGGAGGAGTTTGACACAACACCCCCCCCCCACCAAATAATCTAATCAGGAGGAAAAATTCCTTCCTGGTCCCAAAGAAATCAGTGGGAGACCAAAACATCTCTAACAAGAAACCTCTGTTTTCTTCTTTTTATGTACTGGCAGGAGCATCAGAACAACCCAGTCACAACTCTTCTCTCCCACTTCAACCCCTTCCTCCCCCACATCTTACACATGGCCAAGACTGTAATGACTTAGATTAAAGTAAAAAACAAAAAACAAATACAAAAAACCAGTAGAAGCCAGTAGCATTCATGGGGATGGGAATTCCTCTTGGCCCCAATAGGCAACCAGCAAACCCTCTGGCTACAGACGGGCATTACAGCCGTGCCAGGAAAAACACTTCTCTCCCAACACAAAAAGAGAATCTACAGCTGTTCAAGGGCATTCTTGTGGAAGCCTCCCAAAGCCCGGATCCAAGCCTACATGGCATCCACTGGAGACAACCTATCTGGCAAAAAAGAACAGATGGGAGCCAAAGGAGCAGCTCCATATCACACCCTGGCTAGAAAGCTTGCCTTTGAGGAGACTTTTCTGCTCTCCAGCAAGAGATCTGAAATCTTCAGCGCTGGAATTGGGGGCCAGCACGTGGGGCTTGCAGTACTGGAGGCAGGAGCCACGTGCCATTGGGCCAGGTGGGCTCTGTGCCTCTGTGTGCAGCTTCCCGCTGGAGTGCTGAAAGCCCCATATGGAAGCATGGAGCTGGCTGGCTCAGCCCACTCCTGGCCTGTGGACCAGTAGCCACATGCCACTGAGCCAGGCAGGCTCTGTGCCTCTACCTGGGGTTTCCAACACCACAGCAGGAAAATGCCAATGGAGGCAAGCAGGAGCCCACTCAGCCCAATAGAGCGTGACTGTGCCTCCACATGTGGCTTCCTGCCCAGCCCGGTGGCATATGGCTCCCGATCCATACGTCATCAGGCCAGGCCAGCCCTTCACACGGGTCTTCCAGCACTCCAGCAAGAAGCCGCACGTGGATGCATCAAGCCAGACAGGCTCCATACCTCCACACATGGCTTCCCACTGGAGTGCTGAAAGTCCATGTAGAGGCACTGAGCCAGCCAGCCCAGCCTGGGGGCGCATGGCCAATACCGACCCACAAACCCCATGCTCCCCCCACCCCACAGGAGTGCCTCTCCCCACTTACCAAGCTGTATGGTCTCATGGCTCTGTGCCTCCAAATCACGGGGCCAACCATAGTTAAAGTATGCAATTATGCACAGTTACGCCTTTTATGCACAAAATTGCATAATTCCCCAGGGTGTGCCTTTATACCCCAACCTGAGGACCACAGAATACATTACTTCATATCCCACACTGTGTTGAACCAGAATTCCCTGTCCCATCACACCACTGCTTCCATAAACATATCCAGTTCAATCTGAAAGAGATTCATGTTCCATGCTTCTACCATCCACAACTTCGCTTGGAAGACCGTCCCAAAGTTTTACTCCTTTCGTCAGAAATCTATTTTGTGCAGTAACTTGTTACTTGAGGTACAGACCTTTATTTAATCCTTCCTAAATGTAGGTGCATCTCTAATAGAAATGAAACAATTCTAAGATTCATTTAAAGAAAAATTTCTCTTCTCAACTGTAGATATTGAAAATTTGCCTACCTGTTTTTAATGGTTTGACAAAGGTCAGGTGAGACTGTGCCACACCAACCACAGGTTTAGTTGTCCTGTTATTAGTTTTAGATGCTTTCTGAAGAGATGAACCTAAAATGTTAAAGTTCATGCATCAGTAATAAAGGTAAACTGCCATTAAAAAGCAAAGCAATTAAGGATTGTAGCTTTGACTCCCTTTATTCATTTTGTTGGTTATTAGATATGATGCTGGACAAAACATATAGGGCCTGTGTTCACTGTATTATAAGTAGGGTGACCATATGTCTCAGTTTGGTCAGGACAGTCCCTGATTTCATAGGCCCTCTGGGTGGCCTGGCCAGTTGGTGAAAATTTGAAGCAAAAGTCCTGGAGTGGCTGGAAGGCGGCAGGGGCATGCTGTGCTGAATAATGCCTCTCCTGCCTAGGGCAGGGATCAGCCAGGGAGGGGCAGGCCAGGATTGCCATCAACACGCTGTTGCTGCCAAGGCCCAGGCTGCGTGTGGCAGGCCCAGGTGCCTGCTAGCAGTGGTGGGGGAAGGTGCTGTGTGACCACAAAGAATGAGCTGGTGGTTGGTTACCCAAGGGATGGCGCCACACAGGGGCACTCCCAGACAGGGCTAGCCTCTGTCTATAGGGGATGGACTCAGTAGCACGCCTCTGCAGTGTCCTGCCTCACTATTGGGGCTCCTGGGAGCCAAAGGGGTGTGTGTGTGGGTGTGTGTGTGTACACATACACACACACACCCACACAATGGGGAGGGGTGTATACATGGAGGAGACAGGGTGACTCAGTGGAGCCTACAAGGTGCCCAAATTGCAGCAGTGCTAATCGGTGCCGGGGAGCAGAGACCCCTGAGCTGGAGCCTGTGCTGGGGTATGGAATCCCGCGTTCACCAACTATTTTTGTCAAAGAGAAAGGTAAGGCTTCATCCATCTGCTGAACAGAATCATGACCTTCTTAGGTGAGCGAATTGGATTTCTTTCCTGCTCACACACACAGAAATTGCTTGTAAGCTTCCATTTGCAAGGTTGTCTACAGAAACACCACTGGTTTCAAGATAATGCTCAATTTGTGTACAGGAACCAAAAACAAACAGTCAATATGTTTTGAGAGCAACAGGACTGCAGAGGTAAAAATGAAGGCAGCCTTCTACCTAGGGAATCTTTACAGATATATTTGTACAACAACAGAAAAATTCTTCTTAACTTTCAGACCCTACAACGAGTTCAGAAAACTAACAAGGTTAGCTTCACAACATCTTTCATTTGAAAAAACATACACCAAGATGTTTTCAAACTAGACTTATATTTCAAGCAATGCGAGTGTAAACATACCAAAGAGTTAGAAAATCGTGACATTGGGAAATAATTGATTATAAGAAAGGTAAGCGCCATGAAGTGACTAAGGGACCATGAGTTTTGGAACTTATGGATGCAGCAGTGCATTCAATCTCTCTTAGCCATTGAAGTTAGGATTTCAACGCCATGCAAAACATGTAACCAAAATTTGTGAAATGTAATTCACTGCACAGTGAACTGTACATTGAGTGGATTTCTCAACTACTGCCCTAATATTTTCCGTTGCTGTTACAAACACCTGAGTACCAAGCAGATGAATAAAGAAAGTCCAAAACTTGGCACTTAACTTTACTCTGAACCAGTTTTCCCATTTATATAATGCAGAAAATATATTACTCCCACATGGTTATTGTGAGGACTCGTGGTAGGAAAAGATTTAAAACCTGAACAGGTGCAGCCAGAAAACTGAATATGCTACATCTTCCTACATGAAGTTAATTTTCTTTTCATTTGGAAATACATAAAAGAAAAAGGCTTACCAGCTTTCTTTCTCCAAGTTAATTTCTCTCTGTTGGTGAAGCTTTTGGAGACTGGCAGCCTTCGAGTAGTCTGCTCTTTATTGTCCATGCAAGATATAAAGATCCTTTTGGTTTCTGTTTCTTCTGTGCACTCTGGAGCTATAGCTTTATGGTCTCCAAAAAATACCTCACTTTTCCTTTTACGGCGAAGTGAAGCTGATCCAGTGGACGATGAACTTGCTTCATCTTTGTGATCTTTAAATTCACCTGAAATAGGCTCTATAACTGGAAGGTATTGATATATTTCTGCCTCTGGATGTCCAGGAACCACACTTGCACATTCCATTATTGCACTATTAAGGCATTTCCTAGATTTTGAATTACCCGTCTGTATTACTTTTCCTTCTTTAGCCTCAGGCTTATTTTTAATGACAGTGGCAGAAAACACTGGACGTTTCTTTGGTTTTTGCCTTTGGGAGCGACTACAAATGGGATTGGGAAAACTTAGATGATTTTGTTTAGGTTTGTTATAGTTAACTAACTGAGATTTCACTGTATATGCATCATCAAGAACATCATCATTTGAAAAGTCTCTTGCTACGTGCAGCGCTATTACCTTCTTTTCTTGATTTTCTTCCCATTTTGGCCTCTTTGTCTGGCAGACCTCCCCACTGGAGGAGGATGATGGCAACACTGATTCATGGAGTTGAGAAACACACTGTATAGCTGAGAAACTCTCTCTTACAAACTGCTCTGGTGACAGAATTGGAACAATTTGCTCTGGAACAACATCAACATTACCTTGATAACTATCATTTATAAAAGAATCGGGACTTAAAAATCTCTTATCAGTTAAAATGGGCAAAGCTGCTGACCTCTCTGGAGTACAAACTGATGAGAGCATACCATTAAGAACTACTTCATTATCTGACCTATGTGCTTTTAATGATTCAGTGGAAGAGTTGTGTGAACTTGCAGATTTTGTTTCCTCGTTATATGTTTTCTTAATGCTACAGGCATCTGTTTCCGATATTATCTCTCCATTTACAGCTGTATGAAGAACTGAATAGGTAGTAGATCGTCTCATTGAGAGAGGAGTGCAGATGAAATCATTACCTTCTTGCAACACAGGACTGATTGGGGATATAGCCAGATTGTTTTCTATAGTGAGAGGAGACTTGTTTCTTGAGGACACATTATCTTCCCTTATTTCCAAATTTTCACAGGACTGGAGTGGGCTTCTAACTTTATCTGCTTTTTGAGAAACACGAAAGGTTTTATTAACTCTTTTAATATTTGACTGGGTTTTTCTAGTTCTCGTAGTAATAGATGCTTCAGAAGGTTTTTTCCTTCTTATACCATCCCCAAGACTCTTCTGGAAAAAAGAGAGAAAAACAACCAACAACACTATTAGAGTTTCCAGATGAGCACATTTCTTTCTGCTTATGCATATAAAACAAACTTCTAGAAATAGACTGGTACAGAAATCATACCATTACTAGAACGCAAGCTTATTTTCAATCTTTAAACACAAACACGATATAAAAGAAAAAGGACAAAGGAAGCACCAACCACCCATATGCTGCAGCAGCCAGTACCCTAACTGTAAAATACCGATCTTGTAAACTAAAACATAATGCTACTATACAATACAATTGATATAAAACAAATCTGGAAAAGAAGTTAAAGCAGCTGTACTCCAAAATTCTCCACCTTCACAATTCTTTATTCCTTAGAATTTTCTTTCTTCGTTCTACACTGTGCTCCAAGGTCCCTGACAGACATGCAGGTGAAGGTACAATGAGATCTGATGCGGAATTCCCTAAACTGCACCTCCTGCCATGCTACACATGCATAGCAGGAGGCATGATTGTGGGATCCAGCATCAGATCCCAACATGCCTTATTACGAGGGATCTGGGTTTTCCATTTCCCATGGAAAAACAGAGTAAACCACGGATTTTGCCTTTTACCAGAGGCAAATGCGGATTTCTCATTTTACCATAGAAACCCGCAGATTTTGCCATTTTCAATAAGCTCCCTGCAGGCTGGCAGAGTTCCAGCCTTCAGGGATCTGGGAGGGAGCGGGAGGAAAGTGGAAAGACGAGGGGCACCACATGCATAGACATGCACGTAGCCCCCCGGCAGCCTGCAGAGCACTTCCAGCAGGTAAGTGCTGGGGGGGGAGGGAAGGGGATTGAAGCCCCTGTAGGTAGGGAGCTGAGCAGGGCTGGGGCTACTGTCCAGCTGGGTGGGGCTTGGGGCCCGGGGCAGCAATATGCAGCTGCAGGGCCCCAGCAGGGAGCAGACAGGGCCTTAGGTGGCTTGTCTAGGGGAGGGGGAAATCTGGCTTCCTGCTGCCATATGTACTCCTGGGGGGCAGGGAGGGACCTGCACCCCCCAGATCTGTACCTGGGGCTGTGGGCTCGAGCTCCCATCCTGCTTTCCTCCCCTGGGAGCCAGTGGGCGCGACCCAGCACGGCTGGAGACCTATACAGGGATTCCTTACTTGTGCGAGCTCCCCCCCCGCCACTGCCCTGAGACGTGCCTCCAGGACCTGTTGCTACTTAGAGGGGCACAGCCCCACACCCAGGAGGTGCGTCATCGGGGCATCGGCAAGGAGATTTTCTGCACAGCTCCTCTGCTCCCTGATGCACTGGGTTGTGACAGGGGGGCAGGGCAGCAAGGAACAGTGGTGAGCAGCCGCTGTCCTGCTCTTGGGCAGTGCCTGCCCCTGGCCCACTGCCTCCACCCTGGGGGCCTTGATCTGCACCCCAATGCCTGTTCCCCCCTATCCTCCCCCTACCACACATCTGCAGGGCACTGCTCCAAGCTGCCTGGCTGCATTTCTGGCTGCCTGGCACACTGCATTTATCCATGACGTTATTGGCTATACCGGCCCAAAAAAGCCAATAATGTTAATTTTCCTTTTAATTGGGGCCGATCCAATATGCAACCAATATACTGGTGCACCTCTAATTATTAAATATTTTTCATGTAATGTGTAGCCTGGTAACAACTTAAGATGCAATTAACCAGCTAATCATGTCTTAAGTGTAACAACTGTCTCAAGTTGCAGCAAAGGAAGTTTAGGTTAGATATTAGGAAGAATTTGCTCACTAGAAGGGTTATAAAACACTGGAACAGGTTACCTAGGGGTGATGGAATCTCCATCCTTGGAACTTTTTAAGACCTGGCTAGACAAACCTTTGGCGGGGATGATCTAGTTGAGGATGGTCTTACTTTGAGCATGGAGTTGGACTAGATGACCTCCCCCAAGGTCATTTCCAACTCATATCTTCTATGACTATGTGCCAGGGGCCTAACAGCAAATTTGGATCACTTGGACTATCGGAGCAAATACCCCAGTAACGTGGTCTCCCAAAGGGCAACAAAAATGTATTCATTTACATACTAACAGAAAATTTCTGCAAGCCAGCCCAAAATTTTGCAACGTTGAAGCCAAAAGTTAAAGTTATCGTAAGAAACAGAATTGTTAATTAAAAACCTACTTACCTGTTTTCTCTCAGGCTGCTCAGCCACACCCAGCAATATAGCCTGATGTTTTACAATGCCATTAACAACAAATGTTATCAGTTCTCGGACCCTTCCTTCTTCTAACGGTGTCCACGTTACAGAAATAAAGATTATTTCACCAGACTATGAAGAGGGGGAACAGACAGAGGTCAAAAAATATAAATAGTACAATGACTTAATATATTTTTCATACAAATGTGTTCAAGTAGTGAAGCAGTATGTACATTTTAAAAATAGTACAGTACAGTTATATTAGAAAGTATATAAAAAAACCTTTTTGCTCCCCACTAAATTTAACTAACATGTACGTAGATAATCAATGTTTCTTACCATATATGCAACAGGAAAAGAAATGGACATTGTTACGCAGTTAAACAAAAAGTCCACTTAGATAAGTGGAATACATTATATGCTTATTTTTAATATTCATATTGTAGTATACATTTTAATACTTGTAAAAAGAGCCAAATGACAGCTCATGAACCTAAAACAGGGGTGGGCAAAATCTGGCTCGTGGGACGAATCTGGCCCACAAGACCCCTAAAAAATTTAGAAAATTCGTATTTATCTGCCCTTGGTTCCTGTCAAAAACGACAGGAACCAAGGGCAGTAGGACCCAGGGAAAGCCTGGTGGGGTCCCAAAACAGCAGGGCCTGCCCGGCCCAGCCAGAAGCTCCAGGCTGCCCCACTTTGGCTGCCCCACGCTGGAACCTCAGATAAGGGGGAAAGGTGGGGGGGGGGGGAAAGGCAGGGGAGGACCCCAGGCAGGGAAGGAGACCAAGGAGAAGCTGAGCGTGGGAGGGAGGGGGGAACCATTCTCTAGCCCGCCCTGTGTCCAGCGCCACGCACTGCAACTGCTCGCAGCCTGCCTGGGGCTGCCTGTGCCTGCTCAGGACAGCACCGTGTGGGCTGTGATCAGCTGCATCACAGAGCGCTGGCCATAGGGTGGGGGAAGGGCCGCTTCCCCCCCCCT